TAACAATTAATTTACTGTAGGTTTATAAGGTGTGTTAATCTCTAAAAATTGAGCCGTATATTTAAGCGCGTGTGTTTTTAGAATAAAGTTAGTAATTACTCAAGAAACGGCAAGACTCATATCCTGAAGAATAGAGTAATAATTAGTCAGTTGTCTGTGGAGATCAGCCGAGAAATCGAGTTCTTAAATACTTCTTTCAAAGAAACTGAAAGTACTGGGAGAAATAACCCAAGTTTTAAGTAACTACACTAGAGTTCTTTACTTTCCTTTGCCACAAGTGAGGGTTGTGACAGGTATCTCTTACTATTTCGCATGAGGTGATGTCTGCATTTATCGCCTTGATTATACCTACGTTAATAACGTCATAATTTTTATCTAATTTTGGAAGTATTTCACAGTAGCTCGTAATGATAAGTTTACTTCCATTCTCATCTGAATTGTAATTATCTATCAATCAGCATAAGTAGTGCACTTATCATTGTAGTCCTTAACTAATTTTGGAAGTAATTCTAGTAATTATAGTATAAGCGATGCACTTATCTTCTATTCTGTTACCGTAGTTGGTCTCATTAGTTACAAAAATAAGCTTACGCCCTTGGCCGAGGAATACTAAATCTTCTTCTAGTAGTCATAGACTTGGACTATCTAATCTTCATTTTTTACCATAGTTATTCTACAGCATGCATCGTGCGTGCGATCATTTTAGAGAACAATAAGCGAACTTCATTATAATCATTTGTTTCTAGTTTTTCACCGACATTTCAATTCTATCTCGAATTCTATGATATCATCATTACAATTCCATTACAGTAATTAATCATGAGTTCATGAACTTCGTAAGTATAATTAGCAAGGTAAATTATAAAAGTAGCAGTTCACACAGATGCCCAAGAGATTGTATTCTATTCAAATAATCGCAACATTTTGGCTTGAAACTGTTATTCTCGCATATCTGCCAAGGCTTTTCAGTAACCTAATGATTCAAAGGTGGCTGATATAATAAAAAGCTGATCAAATTAAATGATCGGTCATCATAACCCTAGATATCTCTTTAAACTAGAGTTATAGCAATTAGACTCTAACCCATAGCTTTCAATCTAGAATCTTTTTGTTCAATAAGTATAATTGATGAATGGAAAAAGTAATAATGTCACTAATATCTTTGTTAATTTAGTATCAAAAACCTTTGAAGATGATGTATCATCATAGTACTATTATTTGACTTCAAACAATCAGATTATAAGCTTGCTAAAACTTTAATTCTTGCAATTTTAGTATACTACTTAGAAAATAAGAATTGATAAAATAAGAAATTTGAATAATCTTGTTGGATAATCAAAAGAATTTTTTGAAATCTTGAGGGTAAAAAATTATAAAGATATTGACAGTAGTGATAGCATATTTTCATGTGTAGGTATATTTAGCGTTAAGGAATGAAAAGTATTGGTAAATGATGGTAAAATTCCGATAACAAAAATTTTATCTGATTACGTATTAGTTGCTCTAGCTGGTAATTATAAATAATCTTGAAACAAAGCAACACTGCATTATATTTTCATTTCATTTCTTAAAATTTGATACTGTCTTCTCTAAAATTTCATTAATTAAATGTCAAATTGTGACAGTGTTATATACTATATTAGAGTAGAAATATCTATGTTAGGATAATTCTGTTACCCTATTCTTATTTAGTTAACTTCTAATTTGGATATACTGTGTTTTAATATAGCACTGACTTTTTATGACAGTGACACTTATACACATAATGAAATTAATAGTTATAATAGGGAATGCAAATCATCTACTTACAGTTCGAATCATTGTGATTGTAACTTACTTATGGTAGATTGTAAATTATCATGGAACTATTCTGTGATAGGACATATCGTAATCTGACTATTGTGTATTAGTCATCAGATGTCTATGTTCGTAAATACTGTTGTCTGCATTAAGGGAACAGTAGCTAAAATTAATATCTAATTCAGTAAATGATTCCAAAGTTAATCGTACTAACTGTGACTCATAAACTATTGAGGAAGAGTATATAAATGCAGTATATCGTATAATAAAGAGGATTTTTAAACTTAGTGTTTAACGTAAAATACGAGGGGTTTAAGTCTTTATGAAGTCTGCTAGTAGAGCAAAAGTGTTTCTGATAGTGCAGATATCGTTCCTTTATACGTGGTTTAAGGAATTGACTTATTGATCGTATATTACGTTATCTTGTTGCAAAGCTGTTTTGTAATACAAATATATTTTATGAATATCTCTACAGAAATTTAAGCGTTAATGCAGGCATGATGTATAAGTACAATTATCTATTATATTTTAGTTGCCATTCAAATGTCACAGATGATTGCAATATCAACTCAATTTATACACGTATATAGCAATGTATAAATATCAATACGGTTGGTATGCTGCTTATACGATATACGATTCATAATAAGCAATACTTTGGTGTAATTAGGTTACTGTTACTTAAATTACTTGCAGTATTTATCGTAATTCTATCTACTTAAAGGCATGATTGCATTCGATCACTTTATACCGCACTAATTACCTTTATGCTAATAATATAGCATCGTACGTAATGTTACGCTATAGGCATTACTTTGACGTCAGTAATACCATATCTTCAGAAGCAAAATAGCTGTTATGACAATGATAGAATCTAGAATTTATAGCAAATAAGTATGTTCTAAGGTGCAAAAATTAACCAATTTATTCTTAATTTCTTCATGCCAGTGAGTGAAAAATTAATCGAATATCGGATAAACTAATCAGCTAGACGGTCTCAGTCTCGTTTTGTAGAATTTTTTACAAAATCAAAAATAAGCTATGCTAGTGATACAAGAAATAAAGATCACACTAAAAGAGCAATCTTAGCAATACATAACAACTAAATTACCACAAGAACATTTTATGATATATTTGAAAATCTAAATTAATTTAAATTTTCCATGATAACTTGTATTTTGTTACATAAGCCATCTTGAAAACTAGATAAATTTGATTCTATAGGGAAAAAAATTAGATTACTCTCCATAAGACAGCAATTGAAGCTATCTTGCTTCATCAAATACAGTACCGGTACGATAGCTCTCATTAACATGTTGTGAATTAAGTTCGCAAATATTCATGCAAATATTGTTAGTGCTGCTAAGTTAATTATAGTAGCTAATCTATTGTCTAGTATGACAACATATAAACATTTTTGTTATACTAGTTTTTATGCAATGACATTTTGCAATAACTGTCAAGTTATATGACGATGCAATGAATCGTACTATATCGAACAATTTTATCTTTACTCTATTTATTTTGTAAGACTTCTAGAATCACTTCCTTAGACTATAATACACATTTTAATTGTTTACATCGTACTAAAATTATTGATATAGCTTCAATAGTTCGCGCGGATATTGGCTTGTCCAATCTTGTGCTATAGTTTATAATAAACTTCTATCTCTACGTAACTCAACTGCAACTTCATCTGTAGTAATTGAGGCTTCCTACAAAGGTAATATGCGCTGAAAGTTTAACGGTAATCTGAAGAAGGCACTGTGTGACGTCGAATAGTCAATTATGCATAATAAAGACATTGTAGATCACGGCTGGTAGACAAATCAGATAGAGAATATCTCAAATCGGTGCGCTTCTACTATTTATACAAATTACATAATGCTTAATTCCCAAACGCTACAACACCTCGTGGTATAAAAATTAACCAATTATTGAGTCATCAGATATTTGATATCCCACCGCTAATCTCACGCTGTTTTTATCAATAAATAATGTAAGAATTGCACGATAATTATATTTAATTGCTATACTAAAATTGTATGTATGTCATAAAAAAGAGCATGACCTAGTTATCACGTGAGATAATTTCAGTATATTTAGTTCATTGGCTCCAAAATATTAATAAAAATTGTGCAAAGTCACTAGATTGCAATAATTCAGCAAGGTATGGAACATTGAAGCTTTGTACACTTTGATGATTAATTCACTAGGATTTAAAAGATGATTCTAATAGACTATTCATTAGGTCATAAATCTAAGAGTCAATTCCGTGAAACTACATTCATCTTATCAAACAGATAATGAATTAATTAATTATTGTAAATATCATTAAATATTGTAACATAATAGTATTAGTATTAAAAAGAAGACCATAGCTCCGACTTATTATCTAATCGATCTCAACTCTCTCACAACGCTTAGCAATAAAATACTTCCAATAAAATGCATATACTTATTAATAAGCAACTATTCGTACTGTAATTGGAAAAATCGGTAATGATCGTCGTATCATTTGCAGCATATGCGATTACAGAGGCAGCGATGAAGACTATTATTGATTGCTATTAATGACTTTTAATATGTTGAGATCCTTTCGATCTAAACACTAAATTCAGTCACCAAAAAATAGAAGATTTTTATTACATTGCGATGACAACTTTACATGCAATAAATCTTGTTATTAGTAATACTTATGAAATGAAAGATAATTCATACTTATCAAAGAGATGTTACTAATTTTTAATCAACATAATGTAATTTTTATATGGATGACACTGGTAATTATATATTACTATACATTAGCGTATTAGAATAATAAATATTAAAAATTAAATAATTTCTCACCTTCTTCTGAACGTGATACTATAAAATTTAAGTTGTAATCATAATTTATTGCTTTATTTATACTAATCTACGTCAGAAAATGTTTGTTTACAGCAAACATCTGGTGGATAAGGGTAAAATTAGTGAAGAGTTCACTTTTTACTGTAATTGACTTTGGGAATTCATGGATAAAACAACAATGCAAGACTCTATGGAAGAGAAAAAATACACTTTATAAACTGCCTTGCCCTCTTAGAACATTAAAATTTGTGACCTTATGAGAGTACGCTCTTCATTTAACTATCTTGTCTAATATCATTAGCAACCGCTTGAATTAATTTTATCAGGTAGCCTTTTCTTACAATTTTACCATGTCCAGAAAATTTTGGATTAACTTAACAATGGACCAGCAAGCTCGAATATACAATTTCTATGATCAATATAATTTCCCAATAGAAATTCGCATTCGGTTTAACAATTGGATACAAGAAGCGTACAAGTAAGAATATCTCATAATCTTGAAGTAATTTAGTCAAACATAGTACCAAATCTAGGTGCGAGATGTCAGTCTAAGCGGCAGTTGCAAAAATCACGAACAATATTATTATTTAGCATATAATGCTACGAGTTGATATTCACCGTTCTTAATCTAGAAAATGTTTAAAAATCAAATTGATGTATAAAAATATCGATAATATTTCTAATGATAAGTTTCGCACGATGCTTTCGAAATTTTAAGCTTAACTTCTAATAGCATTCATATAGATTATTTATTCATCATCTTTTTTAACAGGCACTAAAATTTGTATGCTAGCAGCATTTCGTGAACTTTACAGCTGCTTTCACAGCAAATAGTAGTTACGTTAAAAATTTTATTAATCTTTAGCTAAGTGCATACATTCAGATTAGGATCATTGGGAAACAAACAGTTCATTTCTCTTCGAAACAGAAAAATTTTGAATACGTACGAATATTCACCTGCAGATTATTGTGAAGGAATTTTTGCTAAAAATCTTTATCAGGATTTACTGAATGAAATACAGAACACCATTTCTAATTTACAAGTAAGAAATGTATTCTAATACTATTCTAATACTATTCTATTTAATCGCTCATAGAAACACTTTTTAATAAATGGTAGATTGTACAGATTTTTAATGTAGTAAGTCGGGCATCCATTTCAACTACATCAGAGTAGTTACTGGGAAAATTAAAAATGTTATTACATTTCAGTAGAATGGAAAATTCGATCTCAATGTGCGAGCATCGAACCATGAACTTTAGGAGTAAATCTTAGAAGTTTCTGATTGAACTTTGTACCGCTCGCTACTAACAAGAATTGACATATAGAATTCAAGCATTTAGATTTGAATAATTTGTGTGCCAATATTGTTTACATTATACACAGAAACTGAAGTGCTTTCATTTATTCTGTATATTCTATAACATAATATTCGAATCACCCTGCAGATGCTGCAACCGGAACAAGCTACTGAAGACCAGTTCGTTGCTCTTTATAATCTAAATAAAAATCTGAAGACTTTACAGGTAAAAATATTTTTGGCATCTCCTTACAAATAATGCGATATCGAACACTAACGAACCATAAGAACGCGTTAAATATTTGATCTATTGCAGCTGATTTTTCAAAAAAATTAAATTTAGCCTTCATATGATGGTTTACTGGTAGTGCTGTGGCTATACAAAGCTAACATTCTGTAGCTAATATTTCGTTATTTCCATTTAATTTATCAATTCACTTAATCTATGTAAATCGATAAATAGTTTTATTTATAATTGAAATCCATTTATAGTAAGTATATGTCTTACTGCTTACCTCCGATACCTAAAACAAAATAATCTATTTTGAACTCCCTTTCTAGATACCTTAAATAGATTACATCGCTCCACATGCAAAATAATTGTAGATATTCGAATCCTAGAATGATCTTGCAAAAATTAATTTAATTACTATTAATAAATGAATGAAATGAATTCAATCTTTTTAAAATTGGTAGCAAAGGAGTATAAAGTAAACTTTCAAAACTTTTAATGCCAATATTGTAAATTTACAACAACTGCAAGGTATAATTCCTCACCTACATAACACAGCACAGCATTACACTTATTGATGCAATTTCCAAAAAAATTAAGCTACTCGTATGGTGAATTATTCTCTATGCCTAAAACGGGATTAAAGCGAAATGCAGTGAATTAAATGAATTATAACTTAATAAAAGAATTTCAAGATAACCACTATAAGATTCGAATATATAAAGCTTTAAATCGCTAATATATTTAATTTGCAAACAGGATTTATTTCAGTCCAGACCAGAGAAGCTGCTCAAAGTCATAACTGAGGGTATTCGCTATGAAGAAAGAGTTGAATATGATCTACACAGGGCTGCGGTTTGTAAAAGCGTGCCATAAAATATGCTAACTACTAAGCTTCTCTCAAATCGACTTTTATAGTATCTTCTTCTACTTTCTGGTACAGGTAATGCAGTCTCCACAGTCGCCAGAAATTCCTATACTAGATGGTTTCCTAGAACAACTCCATCAATTCATAAAAGATCAAACTAACAAAGTGGATGGACTTCAATCAGAAGTAATACAGGCTTTACAACAAATTAGCAGTATGCAATCTGGCATAGGACTTGATATCGGTAAAACTTTCATTAATTTGTAAAAAATGCAATTAGTAACATAATGTAAATACGATTGACAGTTTTTAAACCATTTGATCGTAAACATAACTACTTAATTTTACTCAGTTGCTTCTCTCCGAATGATATCACAGTAATGTCGATACTTATTGCATGCTGTTAATGTTGTTGCTTTATTAGACTGCGGATAAATTATTTAAACTGCATCAATCAGCTATAATTTTTGTATTTTTGTTAATTTAATTGAGCCTTGTGGTCGAATAATATAACTGCTAAATTTTACTCTACTTAGTTACTTCTCTCAAAGATTTGACGGTAAGCTCGATGCTTGTTGAATTATTTCTATTTTAAAATAAATTATTTTTAATCCATATAGGACGTTATCAAAATTATTCTGTACAAAATGGAATTTTTAGTCAAACAGAAATCATTAAAGAGGACATCATGGTTTGTTTTTCTTTTGTTTTCGTGACCAACTTTTACCGGTGCATAATTATTACAAGGCGATAGAGTAAGAATGAGGAGCTAGCAAAGAAATCTTCCTATCCAAGCATTATCGTCTATCGCGCTAGGATTATGTTTGCTAATACTGTAGCGCAGTTCTAATTTTAGGCTAGATTAATGCTAAAAATAGCATGTTTCAGATTTTATTTTCGACATTACAGTTATTCCTAAGAACCTTTTCAGGCTTCAAATGGCCACAGTCGATATACGCTACTCATATCTTATTATCTGTACGATTTATGGCAGTACATATAGCTTAGTAGAGTACTTTGAAATGGGAAGCCAATATTCTACAAAAAATTTCTACTTAAAATAGCATTTTTTCTTACATGATGAGTCTCAATCAATTTCTCAACCCACATCAACTAAAATTAACTAGTAAAAATCACGACATCAAATATATCAATGCTTATCCATGCATATTGCATTAATCTTACAGTATTATTATTTTTTCTGCCCATTCAATCGTTAGATACTTTTGCAGAAAATGTCAGAACTTATCCAGAATTTCATAAGATTAAATGAAGTTATTATCCAAAAACAATTACGGCCTTGGAAAATGAGTCAAATGACATTATTTAGCCTAAAAGAGCAAAAAGAGCATAGCTATAGGCTAGATGTCATCCAAAACAGGTTTAATTCACTCAGTTTGATTTAAATTATAAATTATACATATAAATGATAGATCGTTAAGATATTAAAAATAAATTTTAATCTCGCAAAGCGTATCATAAATCTTTACTAATACCAATATCGCAGCATGGAAGTTTCATATGATCTACTCGAGGATGCTGGGAAAATAATTAAATCAGTGAGTTACGCTTAATAATTTAAGGCAGTAAAATAAATTTATATTGTTAATAAATAATTTTTGCTGCAGATCCTTTGTCATTACGACGCGATTTATCAATCTTGTGATATCTCGCTTGAGCAATTACGTCAATTCGATTCCATCATCGTAAATCAGCAATATCAGCTCATCTATAAGTTAGTGAATAATAGAGACTTTAAAAGAAAATTCCCTTTATATTATTGTAACCACTGCTTTGTGTGGCTTACAATTCAGTAGCTTTATCGAAGTTTAAATCTATTAATTCTAACTTTAGGTCCATTATAGTTTCTATACAGCCTATTCGAGTTATAAAAGTTGACAACAAATTTGAAACTGCAATCACGCAAGTCATACTGTTTAAAATATGGATTAAAAACTACTATATTCTGATTAAATTTGTCATTAACTTTATCTTCCTAAGCTACAGCACTTAAATAATTTATTTTAGATTTTTACTTGGGCATAAACTGGGCTTATTACAAGCTGAAGTGGAGGCAACTATCCTTGGGTAATGATCAATAATGATTAATATTTATTTTAGCTTCATCTTTGCACTCAGTAAAATTTTAGGGAGAGATTGGCTTTATGCTAAGAAACGAAATTTTGATCTAATTATTACAGAAACGATGAATTGAAGCATATATTAGCTACAAATTCGTAAGCTTAGATTTGCTATTTTAACTTGAAATATAGGCCATAATAAAATTCATACGTACTTATACTAAAATTTTCCTACCTAATTGTAACCCTCCCAATATTTAAAGTCTAATCGTTGTATAACAAAATAGAATGTCAAATAACGCCAGTGATGCAATTCAACTAGATCCAAAATTATTGCACCACCTGAACAATCAACTGCCATTTAAACCAGCGGTAAACAATTAGAACATTCCTGAAATCAGTTGCAGTATTTTGATATATATGTAAAGATTTAACGCAAATTGTACGGTATTTAATTCGAGAAACAGTAAATCGTACCGCAAACATATTCCAAGAAATAAATACTAGATAAAATTTATCATTTAGTAGATAAGCATAATACTAAATTAGAGTTCTTCGATAACTTAAAAAGTTTGTAAATAATTTAAATTATTATACTCTATGATCCAGTTAATAAACTGCCAAAACAAGGATAATGGGTTAACTGCTCATTTTCGTGATTGGGTAAGTCTTTCGACGTACTATAAATTAATGCTTACTATCTAATTGGAATCAAAACTTGTTCCCAAAAATTAATTTTAGTTAGTTAAATATTATATTAAACATCATTTACTTTATCAGATAGTACAATTCTCATTAATTAGTATTAAAGATAAAAAATACTGTTAGTGCTCTTGTCCATGATTTTCACTGTACTCCTACTTATGAATTTTCAACGATAATGGTATTTAACGTTCAAAAAGTTATTCTTATCTATATATTTACCAGAATATAACAGAAGGCATAATTCTTATTTTATACTCTGTATAACTGGATCATATATATAGATATCTTCATTTGATAAGCAATGGTATATATCCAGTCATTTTCGCGTACATATAATTTTATTTCCATGATTTATACCGTCATCATAAGCAAATTTTACCTAAAACAGACTCTAATTATATATAAAGTGTAAGATTTCATTAATATAATATCCTAAAATTAATGTACACACTAATTACATTTTTAGAAATTGTCAAAAACAGAAAGAGGTGATAACGGCAATGCAAGAGATAGGGTATATATAATAATTTTTAATAAAATCATTACTGAATTTACAACTAGCATGCGTGTAAATTGGTGAATAGACTCCTTTTGAGGTATAATTAAAAAATTGAAAATTGATTCTGTGAACCAACATATTCATTACTGTTTGCCACAGCTGGTAACAGAAAAGAAATGTGCGATCATATTCATCCTCAAATTCAACTTGAATGAAACTGCTATGAAACGTACAGTAAGTGATAATTCTTACAACAGCGTGAAATTCAAAAATATCAAGACTTTATTTGTAAATAACTATAAGAAGCAATAATTTCATTCTTATCAAAGGCTGGAAAGTAATTTTTTATCATACAGATTCTTTATTAACAATTTATTACGCTGCAATAGCGTAGGTTTTATGTTTCTTAATACCTTTCTGTTATTTTCTCATAGCTGTTACTCAATATTCTCATCTTTAGATAATTTCACTGCCTATCATCCTTACAGTTAACTCAAATCAAACCCCAAGCGCATGGGGAACGATTATATGGGACAGTTACTTTTCTGATCCGGTTAGTAATAAGCAGTCTCATTTTCTAATTCTCGTGCAAAACAATCATTTATGAAATGAATTATTAAAATGATAACACTACCAATTCGAGTAATAATCTAGTACTCCTCTTTATACTGTTTTATGTAAATTTTGAGTAACTTTCTCGAGATTAAAGTGATCTCAGTAAGAGCAAGTTATACCTGCAAGCTAATATAAAACAGCATTATAATATAGCAGTATTTCAAATATTTTCAAAAGTCTTGCTCTAACGTTCCAAATATGATGAAATCCAAAATTTAGAAACAGTCTTTTAAGAAACACGATTAAAAACGCCTTAAAAAATTACGTTAGCATAACATGAAATAGAGCTATTGTTAAGTCACTATTCAATAAGTTCATCCGATAGGTCTCGAACTTAATTCTTAAAAATTCAAATATACAATCTAGTTTTACGCATATAAAGTTATACTTACTTTTTCGTAAAATAACATTTGCATAGAGATACTATTGTTTCAGTAGGCGTAGCGTTTAAGCTAATGGCATGGAACTATGCATCCCATCATAGGACAGAAATAATTTGGATGCTCCTGACGAGGTCCCCTGGAAAATGTTCTTCAGCATGCTTGATATGGAATTTCACAAAAGAACTGAAAGAAGTCTAGATAACGAACATGAGCAATGCCTTCGGGAATTATACTGCAGTAAATAGAGATTAAAATTTGAGTACTATATTCAGTAACTTCATCACTCACGTTATGTGTCACATATAGATTAGATCGTATCATAATTTAAAAGATATCAGTTATTTGCAACTTCTTATTACTAAAGGCTTATTAATCCTTCCTGCGAGGCAGTCTTAGCTTAGTAGCATAGCAATATTGATATACCAATAGTATATGTATTTTCAGGTTAATGAGTTGAATATACTTTGTGCTTGCAGATATACTCTATCGCACATACTATTCGAAATCCATATAGTCAATTTAGGAAAAGAATAAATAATTGATGCAAATATTATATTTATTAATCTTCTCCTTTTAAGATATCAACGAAATAGCAGAAACAGATCCAAACCAACTTCGTGTAACCCGGAAGGATTTTTATAGAGTACGTGTTAGTGATTAGTCCGTTCTAATTAGTATAGTTTCACTTAGGCAAATATTAGTAATCAAGATATTTAATATTATTAATAATATGCAATTTAAGATATGATTGAATATTTAGGGCAAAGATTTACAATTCACTATCATCTATACCACTGTAGTCATTGAAATAATACAACTTGCCTAAGAATCCTGATAATTTCATCATGATTGCTATAGTCATCACAACATAATCATCCAATAAGCGGATTGACCAGTCCTACATTTTGGAAATGGCTATATGGCATCTTAGAAATGCTAGAAAAGAGAAGCACGATAGAAATTAGGAGTTTGTGGAAAAATGGGTAAAGTCCATTAAAAAATTAATTAGTCGATTATCAAGTAAAGTACAGAACTAATAGTAACATATTTAGAATTAATCAATAGATTATCAAAATTATAATAGTCACATATCTCATTTTTAAGACATATTGTCGGATTTGTGACAAAATCCCGAGTAAGAGAAATACTACGCTCAAAAACGCCAGGCACTTTCTTGATACGATTTAGTACCAGGGTTTATAAAGCTTTAAGTTTCTGCTTTGTTACAGGTATGAGATTTAACGTCAACAAAGTTTATTATCATAGTATAACAGTATATTGCTTGCCAAACTTTAATTAATTTGTAAAAATTTTCATAACATGGATATGCAAAACAATAATAGAAAGGGGCGATATCCAGTTACCTGAACCTTTAGACGAGAAGATGCTTACTGTTCCCAAAAAATCATTAGCGGAAACGTAAGTACTTTCGCCACATACAAGCTTTCCAATACACAAGCACAATGGCTGTATAGGTTGAAAGATACGAGTACTTTAATTTAATGATAGTTAATCGATGTAATCATTTTCCTTTTTAGTCGTATAATATCTTAATATGCTTCCAAGGATTTCTTTACGACTAACTATATTTTAATTACTATTAAGTATTCAATTACGTAGCGAAACACGTTTAAAATTGCTAAAATGTTACAATATTGGCAAAAGAAAAGATCGATATTAGTTTCTGAGATCAAAAATAATTTAAGAATTATAGATAAGTTAAAATGTCTAAAAAATATTATCTTAACTACTACATCGGATCTTAAAAATTTATTGATTCTTTACACCTCAATCGTAATTCAAAATTTACTAAGTTTGAAGAACAGTCTTTTCTTTATAATCTTTTGTTATATCATCTAGAATTAATGGTATTCGGAACTTAGCAGTCTATTACCCTACCATGGCACCAAAATCTGATGTTGCCGATCAATGTAAGCGAAATAGATTTATTATTCTGATGGATGGTGAAATAACGTTAATATCAAGCGATAGTAATTACATTATATTTTATCCATTCTTAGTAAAAACGCACTTGAACTAAATACCTTCCTTAATCCAAATGATTGTTGTATTCAATTTTATTATCTAGGATTTTAGAAAACTAGGTTAATTAATTAGAGCCAAATATAGTGAAATTTTACAGATTAGTCACAATTTTTATTGCTAGGCCAAGGCTAAGAAGATCAACTTATCCGGCTAAGTATTACTTTCGAATCCCTCTACAAATTAAATTCGGTTATAGTAATAGTAAAAGACTATTACTCGGTCATTACAGTTAGATATTTAAATTAGTTAGAACGAAGTCTTACAATGACGAAAGGGCTATTTAAACTAATACTTATTTAAGTGGATCACTCAAAATTAATCTACTTTATCACAATCTCAGTGACAACATTTCGATCAAGTTCTAAACGAGAATCATCATGAAATTTAGTTCAATTGTACCTTTACTAAATTCTAGAAATGTTACGTTTACGAGTTAAAGTCAATAACCTTCCTTTATTCTGTAAACTATTAGGCGGCCAAATTGATAATGTTGGATCCAGCCCTCCCTCCCATCATCCAGAACCTGATGATGGTTACGACTCAAGATTTCGTGTTTTTTTTTCGGTGTTCTAAAAACTAAACTTGCAATGATGAGCTCATCTTAAACATCGTATATTGCTAATATTAGACACCCTTTAGTTGTTACTGCTCGATATGGCAGTGTGACAGTGTTATATACTGTATTAGAGTAGAAATATCTATGTTAGGATAATTCTCTTAACCTATCCTTATTTAGTTAACTTCTAATTTGGATAAACTGTGTTTTAATATAGCACTGACTTTTTATGACAGTGACACTTATACATATACTGAAATTAATAGTTATAATAGGGAATGCAAATCATCTACTTACAGTTCGAATCATTGTGATTGTACCTTACTTATAGTAGATTGTAAATCATCGTGGAAATGTTCCGTGATAGGACATATCGTAATCTGACTATTGTGTATTAGTCATCAGATGTCTATGTTCGTAAATACTGATGTCTGCATTAAGGGAGCAGTAGCTAAAATTAATATCTAATTCAGTAAATGATTCCAAAGTTAATCGTACTAACTATGACTCATGAACTACTGAGGAAGAATATATAAATGCAGTATATCGTGTAATAAAGAAGATTCTCAAACTTAGTGTTTAACGTTAAATACGATACGTTTAAGTCTTTGTGTAGTCTGCTAGTAGAGCAAAAGTGTTTCTGATAGTGCAGATATCGTTCCTTGATACGTGGTTCAAGGAGTTGACTTATTGATCGTTTATTACGTTATCTTGTTGCAAAGCTGTTTTGTGACAGGCAGCCTTGCTAAAATATCGATTACTGATATTAGATACTATTGACTACTAACGATGGTTGATTATTCAAGTAGAAGACATCAGTCTACAATATTGTATTTATGAAGATATACTACACTTTGCTGAGTTATCCATTAGTGGAGGAGCAATTGTATCTTAACCAGGTAGACTCGTACTGAATGATCTAATAAGAATCTCTATCCATAATTTTTTCTATCAATCATTTAATTGCAACGGTAAGAAATCTTTGAGCAGTCAATAGATTAAACAAACTATATCTAATTACAATTCTGGATCCGTCATTTCTTTGCGTTTAAGATGCTTGCATATTAGATTTTTCATTTTGTTATGATTATGCAATGCTATCATATAATTAACTAATATATCAGCGTTATGCTTAAATGATGCTTATTAACGTCCATGTAGATTTACTTCTTCTCGATTCAATATAAAGTTGTGATTATGCGGAATCGATCCCTCTAGAAATTAATTTAGAAATTGCTAATTAATAAAGACGCTAAATAGTAGATGAATAAGTTTCACGGTACGAACTACCATGAAGAGTCAAATGACTAAATTTAGTGAGCTAACATTTATGTATGGCGATAACTATTAATGCCTTACAGTGTGAACCACGGTAGTTATTATTTCCTACAGTAAATTATGTTGCACTATAGTAAGAGTTCTCATTTAGTAACTGATGCTAATTGATTATAATTATAGTGCTATGTCTTGTGACACTTATCATTAATATTGCTAAGATATTCAATTATAGATGATAACATAAATAATTCTGTGAATGAACAAACTGTAGTCTAATTATCTGGAATCATTCTGTAAAGGTCTACGACTATAAATATCTCTGTATTAATTTAGCTGTCCAGTATAAATTATATTTCATAATCTTATGATAACTCATTCATGCTAGCTGCTGCCAAAGGGTATTTAAGCTCGGCAGATAGCTGAATAAAATCAAAATCCTTTAGTCGCTTAACGTAGAATCTAAGGCATCTAAATTCTTATGGGATAGTTAGGAGATACTGAATCCCGTAGACTTTAGCAATTTAAAGATTATTTTTACGATATCCTCGACATGAAGCTGGTTTGTGGCAATAATTCATACGTTAACCGGAGTATTTCGAGCAATTAGCCACTACCGCAATTAAACCGATAAATATTTATAGATAGATGCAAATAATCACTAGTATCCCAGGTTTCCCGTACAACACTTATTTAACAATAAAACTACAACATGCTTACTCATTCAAAGAGTGATTGTACTGGCTGAACACTTGAATAAACTCCTTTAAATCCTATCCAAACTTGGTCTAAAAGCTTCGATGAGATTAAAACTGCTTTCGGATTAGCTATTATACTAGTCTGTAGTGGCTTTCGCTAATTACTTTAGCAACGCGTGTTAAAGTTCTACAGTAATTTTGAAAGTCTGCGTAGCATAAATTATTCTGTTATAATTCATAAAGCAATTCGCGGTCGAGCTGACTAATTAGTGGATTAGCGAGTTAGTTGTTCTGAAAGTAACTTTTATGCCAGATTGAGGATTCGTGAAATAAAATTGCTGCAGTACTTATTTAAGAAGTAATTAGGGTACTGCAGCAGCTAAGCTAATTTGTCAATGGAGTTAAGAAGATTACTACAAAGTATCTAAAGCTCCAAGTAATAATTACGAGCAGTTGTTTTAGAATCACTGTATGTATTCGATACTAAGATAGCATACTTTATACTTAGAATGGTCTTGGATGTCAAGACCAAGCTTACAATAAAGTAATTTAAAGCTATGACTGTTGTAGGTGACTACGATATAACCGATCAAGAAATTCCAAAATTCGAAAAAAATTAGAACTTTAACAGACCTTTATACAAAGACAATCCACACAACCCTCTACAATAGATGAATACAGCTACTAGAAACAAATGCTACACAATCCAAATTTGCCTGCTTAAATACTTTTCGTATCATTTGCAGCTACAATCTGCATAGCAACTCTCTACCTTAATTTATACATCTATGCACATTATTATTAGTAACAACGTTTTGCGACCATCTATAATCGAATATGATTACTGCTGTGTTAATGTAGATATTAATTTAACCAGCTGAAGTACTATGAAATAGCCATATCCTAATACATGAGCTACATATCTATCTTCAATAGTGATTCAACATCCTACATTATACGCGTATGTTCATCTGCATTCTAATATATAATCTTCAGTTAAAGTCAATGACTATGTAATGAAAGTATCTCATAATTAACTATCGTAGTTAAACTAAGCTCAAAGGGAAGTGAAGTCTTTCCTCATATGAGGTCATCTTCGCAATTCTTGAATACATTTCGTTAAATCCATTTTGACAATATAATTAATTACAATCAGGCTAGAGTCATCAAACGGAATACTTTTCTAAAATAGAACATCATTATCTTCTACAATCCGAATCATCCTACTTAAAACATCACTATTCTTCTATTAATGTCCAGCACCATTTCCACTATTATAGTATATCATGTCAAATATAACTTGTACCACAACCAGCCAATTGGCTAATATTAGTCATCAACAACTTTTAATATACTGTAGTAGTAAACAATCATCTAATATTAGCATCGCGATAATATTTATTCTTAGTAACCTGACTATATCAAATAGAGCTAGCCTTGTAATCAAATATAGGATGCCTCGCTATAGATTATGAGCTAATAAATAAGACTTTTGAAAACATAGAAAGCTACTGTATTGTACATCATAATAAACTTGGCTAGTAATCTAAAATCCAACACTAAGTTACGTTACAGTGGTATGAATCTGTTATAGATTACTTAATATCGTACCCTAGCGTATTAATCTTAACTTTTAGATTTTAGTATTCTTGTTACAAGCAAATAATGATGATAAAGTCTATATGTTTTGAGTTTTAGGTCGACATTTTTGTTCGTTATCGACGATCGCTAAATCGCTGTTAAAATGTTTCGAAAGGCATTACATTATTAAACTAATCGAACTGTAGAAATATTTTACAGTATCAATGTCACAATTTCACTTCTGCAACAAGGTAACGTACAGTAAACGTCTATAAGTAGCTACTGACTTAAACGCCCTTATACTTAACGTTAAACACAAAGCAAAATACTGTAAAGATGAAACTTTTATTAGCAAAGATACATCTACAGCTTTTTACCACACCACTCAACTCAGATGTTCCCGTTTATATAGGAACCGTCTAATTTGTAAACAACAACAGTATTATTATTATACCTTACTAAAAGAAACATCTCGAACTGAGATGTTCCTTACATAGCTTTTCTATCAGTATATATTTTGAATCTCTTACTCATACTTAATCTTAATCTAAGCTCGTAGGTAGTCTAATTCAACTATCATCAACTAGAACTTGAATCATCTTACTGCTTTCTATCACACAATAACAATCAATATCAAATATGTAATGAACTATCACAAACAACATCCACGTTAAGGCATTACTTATCTTACCTAGCACTACAAATATGATTATTCTCCATACTAGCTACTACTGTACTTATTAAACTATCCTAATGACAAGGCAACACCGTAACAATCAACTATAGCAGAGAAATTCAGTATCTAAGTGTAGTAAAAGGACTAAAAGTAGAGTCCTTTCTAGTTTTTTTTGTATGTAATTAGTATTATTTTACTATGCAAAATACCTAGAAAGTGATAGTGTCTTTAAGTTTTACCCTGCCAAATCATCATGTCGCCATCTTTTCTTCTTCATTATTTTACAAGGTATTATATAGATTACTATAGAAGTAGCCCTATAGAGCAAATGCCTAATCTAAAGAAAGGGCGTTTGATCGTCTATTCAAATTGTAAAGAAATTTGACTTAGTAGCAAAACCCTATCCTTAGAGAAAGGGGATTTATAACATGACGATAAAGTACTGTAATGTAGTCTATGCTCGTACAGTTACAGTACAATCTGACGCTAAAACATCAACTGTCAATACTCGCGAATACTAAGCGATACTAATGTCAGAAAAGTAGTCGTAGTAGTCATATAAATTTTTTTGATAAGCGATTACTGTGATCTTCATAAAAAGCGAATTTTTCCGGATTTGTGTCCGATATAGTTTTCGGATTCTGGGACCGGTCGGGTTTGTGTCCGATATAATTTTCCTGTTTTGGAACCGGTCGGGTTTATTTTTAATTTATGTCTGAATTATAATTTTTCTGTTTTAATTTTTGGATTTTTGTTCATGAAAAATATCGTAAGAGTTGATTTTTGA